TTCTATTCTGTCATGAGGTACTGAAATGATATTCTATGAAGGGACTATCCCCTAGATGTGCGAATGAACGTGGACTTACGAAAAACTTATGATTCCATTGAATGGGAGTTCATAAGGAGATTGCTTGCTAAATTGGGCTTTCCCTTTAAGTTCACATCTTGGATGATGGAGTGTATATCCACAGTCCCTTATTCTCTAGTGATAAATGGGGGTCTATCTAAACAATTCAGAGGGGAAAGTGGAATTGGACAAGGGGATCCTATGTCCCCTTACCTATTTGTATTGGCTATAGAATATCTTCAAAGGGAACTGAGCATGCTGAGACTCAATAAAGACTTCAAATATCACCCAAGGTGCAAGAAATTTAATGTGATAATACATTTGATCATCCACAACAATAATCTACTCCATAAGGCCCTAGTCACAGGACACCCAAAGTAAAGATGGTCATATATGAATCACATTAAATTTCTTTAAGGAAGCATTTTCCATGGTGGGTCTTTCGGTTAAATTTTTTATGATGAATACACGTAAATGTGACTGCATAGAGGGAAACAAAATTAAAATAAATTGGGCAATTGTGATGATCAACTCTTAACTTATTTTCATTGTTTCCCCAAAAACTCCTAGATGAGATAAAAAATAAAATTGCAATAGAGATTAGATATCAATCAGAACAGAAGATGAAAAAAGCTCCTGCTGAAAGTGTCTCCTTGCAAAAAATCTTCATGAATTGTGTACTAACGAGAGTACTACAAAATCATTAGATTGCCCACACTTTCCCAAAATACCATCCTCAAAGAATAATGAGTTCCAAACTTTAAGTGAATAAAGAGACGAAAGACACTACTTGAAATGCATTTTTGCTAGTAACTTTAGCATGAAAAAGTTTACATGAAGTGCTTATCTGCAAATGTTGATACCATAGTAGTTACGAGTTCAGATACTTTTGTAACAGTATTATAGCTTGCAACTACTCCGTGTGCTTCTAGTTTGGAATTTTACAGTATTAGATGGTAAATAAACTTGTGATGCTAAAACTGAAACTATTAATAGGATATTTAATTAAAGAAAACTTCAATATCCTTGGTGGACGTAAGCAAATGGGTAAAGTAGAAAATAGAAAACCATCCAACATTTTCCAGACTCCGAAATCCGGATTTAAGAACCAATAGCACAAATCGTATCTTGACTAAATCTGGTGAATTTTAGAGATTGAGACAGACTTTATAATGCTTTGTAATTCTTTAATCATCTCAGACTGTATGACACTAATTCTACCTTCATTTCTCAATCTATTTATACCAGAAAACTGGGGTAAGATCTTCGAAAATTAACCACAAATATAAACAGTGATCAGTACGACGTCATCTACATTGTTATCAAGTTCAAACCATATTTTGTTCCGAATACGCTCTCAGCTCAACGTATTGTGATAGACATACCAGAGGCCAATCTTTATTATAATAAGATAGGTTAAGCTCCCAACAGAAATATACTCTGGAGCAGTTTAGCCTTCATGTCCTTATCTCAAAACTAGTTACTCCTTCTCCTGCTTCATATAGCTGTTACTAAGCATTTTTCTTTGACTAACATCTAACCTCAACCTAAATTCTTACATGGCAGATAGTGGAAGTGGTTGAAGAGATGTATTCAAGTTAACCAAAAGAGTATAATGCAATCAAGCATGTTCATAAATTACCGCCAAACATGCTCTTGATTTAGTGCAAACTACACACCAGAATACATTAGCCCCTAATGTCCTTAAGTCCACCGGTCTACCCACTTGGCGGCAATGCTAGATTACTTTACTATTTGTTTCATTACAACAGAAAATGTTTGAAGAAATCCTCTTTTGGTTTTTGGTTACCTTACAAAATTATAATTCTCCCAAATACTTCCACCAATATGGGAAACTGACTGATACGGAACTTAGTATCTATGCCCCTTTCTTTTCCTAGTTTAATTTCCCATTTGTTTTTATTTCATTTTCAGCACACTTCATGAAGAAAGTTTGTTTACTCTGCAGACACTGTAGAGCAGATGTTGCAGCAGAAAACATCTGCAACATGGAGGCCACTTAACATTGCTGCTGAGAAGGATAGTTCATTATGGAATTGTATTTTAAGGAAAACTTTTTCCTCCATTTCTAACCACTTCAAAAGTAAGTTTAACCTTTAAATCAGACATCTATAAGGTTATATCTTTGCTAGACCATTGAAATTAAGACTTGAACAGAAGGTAGAACATACCTGGCCAGCTTGTGAAGACATGATAGCGATGGACCCAGGTCCACGATCAGCCCTATTCTTCATTCCAGGCAAAGCAGCTTTAATCAGGTGAAAAGTCCCAGTCAAATTGACATCAATCATGAACTTGATCTCCTCAATATCTTGGGTCTCCAATTCCTGAGGGACAAAAACTCCCTGATTGCACACCAACACATCGATTGGTCCTGCCTCTTCTACAGCCTTCTTGACAGCCTCATAGTCTCTCACATCAGCGCTGAAAATGGCCACGTCACGGCCAGTAGAAAGCCGAATTGACTCCTTCGCATCTTCGAGTCTACCAGTGTTACGAGCAAGTATTGAGACTTTTGCACCTTCTGAAGCAGCCTGTTGAGCTAGAGCTAAGCCAATACCGCTTGAGCCGCCAGTGATGAAGACATGGCGATTTTTAATTGGAACTTTGACGGGGCGTGGTCGGACGATGAAGGCGAGGAAAACAAGGAGGGATAGAGAGAAGAAAAGGAGGAGGAGAGAGAAAAAAGCAATGCTCAAGTCCGCCATAGACGAATAGTTGCAGAAAAATCTTAGGTTGCCTTTGTACCTGCAATACGAAGATCAGCGCGATTCGGGTTATGAGCTTTGGAATTTCAAATCTGATTTCAATGAATTCAGATCAACGATTTGGGATTTCACCATTGCAAAAATTTTAAGTATTAAATTTTTGATTTAGAACTTTAAAAAATAATTAAAGTTTTAACTATTAAATTTTTATTTGAGATAAGTGTCAAAACACACTTAAACTATATTTTTTTTTTTAGTTCCATACCTAAAATATTGAGAATGTGAGTTCATACCTAAAGTATGAGAAACACACATCTCTATCTTTTATTTGAAAAAACATTGACGCATGGCATTTCACATGGATAAAATATTCCACCCAGACAAAAATTAAATAATAAACTATTAATATTAATTAAAAACTAAAGATTAAAGTATTACTATCCCAAAAAAAAAAAAAATCTTACCCCACTTCACCACCTCCTCCCCGTACCCCCTCCCCCACCACACCCCACGACCCCACCCCCACAATCCCCATCCTTTTATTTTTTTTTAAATTTCTTTTATAATATATTATTCATACTTCACCCCCCCCCCAAACCACCCACTCATTCCCCAAAAAAAAAATTGATATTATTTTATTTTAAAAAAATAAAAATTCTACCCATCCTATTTAACCTCCGCTCCTAATCTATTTATTTATTTTTACATTTTTCTCGTTTTGTGTTAAAAAATAATTACATATTTTTAGCATAAATATTATTAATATATCAGTTTAGTAGCCAAAATAAATCCCACTTTTTTCTCATCCTCAAAGAACATTACCCTCTCCTACATAACTAATATTCTTTTTTCCTCAAAAAATGTTAATAATGGTGGTCACATAAAGATTCTCTTTTTTCCCCTAATCACTTTGTTTCTTTTATTTCTTTTTCTTTTTTTTTTGTGTATTAGCAAAAAAAAAAATTTGTCCTTTCCTTTATCTGATGTCTTTGTCTTTTTATATTGGCAAAATTCTTTCTATTAAATCATTATTTGGATATATTATAAATTTAGTTAGCGATGCTTATGTATTTTCTATTTCAAAGGTATATATGATTACCCATGTATTACACATATTTAAATAGAATGTATAATAATTTTTTTAGTTGCTTGCATTACATTGTATACATACAATTCTTATTTTTGTATTATATACATTTAAACAATACTGGAATTGTGGTCGACATTATTGTTTGTTTATGCCGTTTAATTTGATAAAATATAAGGAGAATATAAAGATGCAACAAAGAAATTTTAGTAAGCTATAAAGTAAGCAAGAATGACCTTTACCAATAATCATTCAAGAATGTGTTAAAAGAAGCTGACTTGGGAGATAAACTCTCCAATCCACCAAACAACGTGTTTCTTTTTCATTTCAAGGAAGCTATGTATCCTTTTGTCTTACAAGGAATGAGTGGGTGGGGAAAGTAGGTAAGAATTTTAAACAAACAACAATATAGCTTTCCATTCATGAACCTACGAAAAGCTCAACTGTGATAACGTAGGACTATGGAGTATGAGAAACCAGAGAGCTTGAGCGTTGGAAGAACAAAGAAAGTCGGCAAAGAGATCTTGATCAACCATAGTAAGCTGTCACTTTGATTTTCTGGTTTTAAAGTTAAGGGAAGTGAGAATTCAACTGAATATGTATTTACTCGTTCTCTCTCTGAATGCAGCCCAACTTATAACATCAGCCTGACAGGAATAACAGTAGGAAGCAAGACCACTGATTTTGATCTCACAGCCATTTTCGACTCTAGCACTTCATTCACATACTTGAACGACCCAGTTTACAAAGTCATTACAGAAAACGTGAGTGAGAAACTAATTGTATGAGTTATCGATGGAGTGTGTTCTTTGTATTTTAACACTGAATAATTTGCTTCTTTTGCAGTTCGATTCTGAAGCAAAAAGGCCGCGTATCAACCTGATGGCGAAATTCCTTTTGAGTACTGCTATGACTGCTATGGGATCAAGAAAAAAGAAGAGGTTGACTGAGTAATATGTTAAATGGGTGGTTATTTAGTTATATTCTGTTTTTTGTACTTTATATTCCCACAATACACATTAATAAACATTATAGTAACTTCTAACAACACACCAATTGTCCGCACACGCTTGTGCTCCCAAGTCTCAACACAAAATAGGAAAGAACTGAAAATGATGGTCAAATACGTCAAATTTTGTAAAATTTAGAATATCAGGAATACCCCTGAATAGCGAAAGACTCATTCTTTGTTCTTAGTTAAACATATTGTACTCATTCTTTTGAACATATTGTCAAACACATAATGAGCATGGTAAATTTTGGCAAATCAAGAGCTTATATTCTATTTCTGAAACAACTGTATATACATAACTTTATATCAAAAACCTCAGTGCCATCAACTATATCATATAACTTGCACTAAACATGAGAAGTGGGAGGCGTAAAGGCGTACCTTTTCAAAGTTCTTGTGAATCAATAATACTTTAGTTAGAACCACGAAGCAGTATCATAGCTACTCAAGTTAGAGCTTTGGTGGTCTGCTAAATTTGCAGAGAACCCTTCGTCTTTCGGATGGAAAATCGTTTTCTTTTGGATTTGTCCACAAAATCAAACTTTTTCAGAGTATAAAATTAGATTTTAGAATAGCAGTTGTAGTTTTTTCCCCTCAAAATTTCCAACAAATAGCAACTCGCGTTGTTGCAAACACATCCAGCAAGCAGAGTCCTATTTCAGCAGATGTTACCCTAGAAAAGGGAAAATCAGAGAAAATTTGAGATAACCAATTGTAAGCAAAATGAAGAGACGCAGATGCTTCAAAGTAAAAGCAACTCAACCTTTGATGTTACCAAGTAGAATAACGAAGAAGAAGCAAACCCAGTAAATCAAAAGAAAATCAAAGCGTTTTTCCGATTCTACAAACGAAACAAATTAAGTTTAAAGGGAATCTAACAATTTAGATTAATTAGCAAAGAGAACATTGAAGAAGACATAAATCCAGCAAACCAAGCCAAAAGGTGCATCTACGGTAAGAGAATTTTATTTTATTTGCAGATCCAAGAAGCAAGATTTCCGATTGAAAGAAAAACCCATAAAAATTGATGAATGGGAAACGGAAAACATACAAAATAAAGGAATTAGAGAAAGGAGGTTACACCTTTTTGTTTGGAGGAGCAAATCATTGTGCAGCTGAAATGAAATTTCATAGAGCATAAAGAAAAGATCTTTAGAATCAGCTAATGTGGAAGATTGAAGATGTGGATCTTTTCTGTGAATCCAAAAACACACGTGGGCAAAAGAAGAAGAAACTGGAAGGAGTAAATTACCGATTTACCCTTTTGGTCATCTGAAGAAACCCATACTTATTAAGTATGACTAGATGATTCATTGCCCGTGCTGCGCACGGGCCCAACAATTTGGATACATTTTTTTGGGGGCAGGAAACCAATCTGGCTTAATAGATTTCATAAGAGCAAACTATTGCACTGCACCTAGCTGAATATGTTACAACTGAAATGCATATACACAAATTAGTAGCAGAAAGTAGCGATTACTTCAATGACACCAAAGATAACATCTTTGGACTGTATGCATTTTACAAACACACTAATCAGACCTTCAAAGGCCATCAGCAAAAAATATTCAAGAAAAAGTACAACTACCTATACATCCTAGATTACTTCCAGTAGATGCAATTTTTAACATTTCTGATCTTCTTCCGTTAGATTCTCTGGCCACAAGTATTGTCCCTTAGTGTTATATTCTGCCCTTTGAAGCATATGTATTCACATAGTAGTCCTCAAAACAGTAAGCTCAACTTAGATTTGATCTAATTTATTACTTGTTATATTTTGGTAAAAGCACTTATTGAAGATCGTAGCCTCTAAAAATAGGTGGTAGTTCCTTTAGAGGCTTTCCTGAAAAGAGCTAAAGAATTTCTTAGTATGTGTAATCTTGTTCAATGCAGCCAGACATTATAAATGAATAATAACATGAGCATAATCATACCCATACTTCTCAGAAATAATTCCACTCATATTTCAGAAGGCATGAAAACTTATATGATTCAAGTACCATGCATTTGTCATTACATGTCAATCGACAGAACTATGGATTCACATATTAGTTTTATGTTCCAGAAAAAGGATAATATGTATAATTTTCTCTGTATAAATACATAAGGCATCATTAACATTGCACTGCCAGGAATAACTACTTCCAGGTACATAAACAAATGTCAAACAGAGGCTACATCTAAATATGGCAGATTAACAAGACAATATATTCAGAGATTACGTGAATGACCCAGAAATTATGTTGAAGATTTTTATTAAAACTACTACCTACTTGCAGATTTTGTGACTCGGTGGTTTAGAACTTTTAAGGTGAAATTAGTGAAAGCTTCGGTAGCCAACATGCCATGGAAGAAACTATTATTTATTTATTGTGATGAAGCATATTATGGATGGGTTTAAGCCTAGAACAAACTCAAGAGGTTAAAAAGATAATCCTAAATTTACTTTCAAACTATACTACTCAGAAAATGATATATTTCTATCAAAGCCTTACCATCATTGGACAGGCCGATTAGTTCTTCCATTTAAGTTTGAAGAATTGACTAACTTCATCTCAAGTTTCCAGAGGAAAATGGAATAAGAGTTCACTAATTAATGGTACAGTGATCTAGTTTTCTTTTAAACAACATAAAGTCACATATGTTAATATCCCTAAGAAGTTTTGGTAGGTGCCCCATGTTTTCAGCAGATCATGTTGAGGTGCTGCAATTAGTAGTAACATAATTGCTAGGTAATGACAACTGAGATCCACAAGTCCAATCTCCCTGGATAAGCTTTTTAGCTCCCAAAACTGTATTCAAAATTTACAATCTGTTCCGAGACAAAATAAATATAGCTAAGTTACGCATGAATTTAAAATATACAAGGATCCAATTCAATTACAAGTTGAGGAAGATGAGATAGTTCAACAGTAGAAACTAAAATTAATTAATTAAGCCTTCACGATTTGTGGAAAGCTGAAAAAGAGCAACAACCAAGCAGGCACAGAAAGACATTTCTATATATCATTTAGAAGTTCCATTGCACAAAGATTTACCTGAACCTCAGTTCGTGCAAGTGCAATAAGTAGCGCCACACCTTCTTCTCATTTGATGGTGATACTATTGCAGCCTGCAGGATTCAATAATTATGAGTTGGATTAATTACAGATTAAGTAAAAACAGAAAGCAAATTGTGCAGTTGCAACGTGACTAAGAAAATAGCATAAAGCAATCGACAGAAACATGAATAAGTGAATTTCATATTCAGTTAGCATGCTGCAAAGCTCAGGATCTAGTGGTTCAAGTTTATATTCAACTCCGTCCAATTTCGACCGGCGTCATGCTGTACATATCCCCTTTCTCAATTATTTTTGAAAATAAAACATAAGAATAATTTGATAATAGACAAGCAATATGCAGTTGATATTGCTGAAGTTACAAAAAAATAATACCAACCAGTTGAAAATCCTTGAGTGCGTATTTGACTTCTAAATTGTAAACGATTAAGCACACAGTAGCATAAACACCTAAAATAACAATGAAAGCACAAGTCTTTGGCAATATTTTCACAATTCGAAACTAACTTAAGAAAATGTAGAGCCAATTTCAATAGCTATTTGTTCCGTCCTGTTTTGTGCTGCCATATTACTCCAATTTGGTGTGAGAAAGCCACAATTAGCCCATAATACAATATTCTCACTGTCCAATTCAGTCGCTTGTGTGTATAGATCAATAGCTTGTGAATACTTGTACCCAGAAATACATTAAAATCGAAAATAGACTTACTATTTAGGAATATGCATAAACGCCAGCTAGTAAAACGAACTATAAAAACTTGCCAAGATTAACACTCCAAGTCTCTTATTAACAATTAACAAAGTGTAAAAGCTCTTATGAACTTACTAATGAGTTGTCTTACCACGTGTAAATAACAACCCTCCACAAAAAATAGTTCAAGAATACAACAACAATTTTGAGAGGACAAAAGATTGCCTTAAAACTGCAACACTACTTGGAGAAATTGAAGATGAAAATCGGTGGAAGAATGTGAAAGTGATGAAAATCGGTAGTTGGAGAAGCTTGAGAAGATGCAACATTGAGGAAATCCGTGTGTTGTCTCCTCTTGAATGTGAAAGTGATGAAGATCAGTGGAAGTATATTTTGGAGAAAAGAACATAGTGAGAGATTGGAGGAGTGATTACGCTGGAGATATCACACGCAGAGTCGTATATTTCTTCATATAAAGCCACTAACTATAAACAATTTTGTACAAAGAAAACATCAAAAGCAAACAGAAAAAAGATGGAGAATACAATGGAATCAAAAACAGATTTCACACAGTAATTTATATGAAGGTTTGCAAAGCGTAAAAGGTGGTAGTGGGTTTTGTCTATTTTGACCACTACATCTGAAATTCTAAAAGTTTAGTACTGTTGGGGTTGTAAATCTCTTCATTTGGGTGTGCTAAAAAATCCAACTTTGAGGTTCTTGATCCTTTTTGATCCGTAGCTATTGTTTTAATGTCAGTTCTTTGGTAATAACTGTATAAGGTTTTAACTTTTAACAAGTTGGATTCATTTGCTGTTCTTGCTAGAGTTGTTTGTTTTAGTGTGTGTGTGTGTTATAGAGATAGTTTAGTTATGGCTTCATGTAAAAAAGGAAGAATAAAAGATGCAGTTTTTAGGCGTTTAGTATCTCTAGCATTGATAACTGTGTTTGGAATAGTTTTGATTTTGATTCTCTTTAGGACTAATACAATTCATCTTTACGGTATGTTTAGGGCTCATGCTCAGTTTTCAAACTTTCTTCCCAAATTTATCTTAAGGAATCGGAAACACCGGATAAGACACATGAATTTATTTACTTTTTCGTGGTTCTGTCAATATTCATACTGCCATTTTTTCCCTAATTTCAATTCAAGTGACATTCCGACTTCATCAGCCCATATATATAAAAAACTAAATCTAAAAAAAATCAGATGAAAAATTGAAACCAAAACACAATCAAGGAGAAAGCAAGTGAGGATGGCAAATTAAGAAATCGAAGCCAAAAATTGAAGAGAGACCTAGCAAATTACCTGAAAATCGAAGTTGTACTCAGAGAAGATGCAGGGCAGAAACTTTTATCTTCCCCTTCTTCAATGCTTAGATGAGAGCACTGAGATGGAGCGGGTGGATGCCACGCGTAATGAAGCGAGAATATGATAGCATATCTTTTAATGAAATGTTTACGTACATGTTCAGCAAAAAAAATAAAAAATATTTACATTTACATACATAATAATAATAATAATAATAATAATAATAATAATATTGTTGAAATATATTAAAGGTATAAAAAAATTGTCCAACAGATGAAAATTGAAAATGGAAGAATTTCTTTTTTTCACAAATTCCCTCGGTGGTAGAAGGGAAAGATATTTGAGATATTATTCTTTTCATAATCTTTAAACTTTGTTGGATAGTTGTTATATGCATAATGTATTGTATTGTTTTAATGAAAGGAATACTATCGTTCTCCGTTGCTATATAATGTCACACATCTATAATTTGAATGATAAACCTTAAAAAATATTAGGATACAAGGTAGAACTATCATGTAAAGACAAGGTAAAGGATAAAATAAAATTATTAAATAATAAGTAAAAGTAAAATGAGAAAAAAAATATTAAAGTATCAACGTAATCAAACCAAATCGGTCGTTACACATAATGGATCTTTTCGTCATTACCCAAATATAAATTTAAAACGATACGATACAATAAAATCTAAGTAACAAGCAAAACAACCATTGTATCTAAACTAACAATATAATACAATACAACGAGTAACAACCATTCAAACAAGGTGTAAAATATTTGGCAGCGTTTTAGAGATGACAATAATTCTCTTCTTCCCCCTAATCACTTTACTACTCTCTCTCTTTTTTGGGTGAAAATTATTTACATTCCATAACTTTGATTTAAAAATCAACCTCACCCTCCAATTTTGAAATATAATCAGTTTTCCCTCTTAATTATTCTTGTAATTTCTATTTTATTCTTGATATTTTCGTTCCTCCATCTATGTGACATTTTTTAATATAATATGAAATATGGTATAATTTCCTAAGTACATAATAACTAATTTAATTTTTTATAAGCAAAATATGACAACTAATTTGACCTACAATGCTACAATTTCTTGAATACAAATAGATCATGTCAAGATGTATATAATTCAGATTCATGTGCAATTGTCTTTTGAAAATGTGGCAATGAATACAAAGATATGTATCACTTCATATAATATCCATGAGTGAATATTTTTCCCCAAAAATATATGTAAATAATATCCAACAATTATCATGCAATGTTGGCAAGCTATCTGATTATTTGATATTAACTTACGTGCATCATTTTTTGTTATATGCAATTTCATATCAAAACAAAGTTAAATAAAAAAACAATTGCTCCACTCCCACTTTTCACATATGTACATATTGTATATCGAAAATATTGAGATCAGTATTTTCATATAACTCATTGATTATATATGCTGCATTCTCCCTTGCTACGATAGACATCCAATTTAATTATATAAAATTTAACGACGATAAAAGAAGGAGTATATGGATTTCAAGGTGTCAACCTTGGAAATTTCGAAAGAATTAAAGAAATAAAAAGTACTAAATCAAAACGCAAGAGGGGATACATGACTTGTCTATTTCTTATAGATGGACCCAATTCTGATAAAAGGAAAAATAATAGACATAAATGAGATTTAATTTGAACATGGAGGGCGGGTCGATCCTAGAAAAAAGTAAAAGAGAAAAACGTAAGATTAAAACGCCAATGATTTTTCAAAGGATAACTTGCTTAACGCCAATTTTAATTGTTCTCATCAAAAGTTCAAGTAGCCAACTAATCGATCTACTAAAGATTAAATTACAGAATATAAAAATTTTGCGAGACTTATTTTGAGTATATAAATAAAATTTAAGTAAGTCCTTTTAAATTTCATATATTATATATTTTCTGATTTTCTCATTCGATTTTTGGTATTTCATTTAAATTCATGCCGGATAAGACTCATTTGAAGAGAATAGTACTCCCTCATCACAAATCTTTCCATTAATTTCTAGCGCTCAAACCCAAAATCTTTGATTTAAGAAAATAAAATAATCATATCCATCGCAACCACAACACTCATCGGTAACTTTCATAAACTACAAATTATTCGATACGAAGTACAAAATTTGAACCAAGCTCCCGTGATCCATCTCTTTGTCACGTTACTGAATATTAATATTTCACATGTCTTTGTCAAATTAAAACATGTCCCACATAGGTAAAATTATTGAAAACTCATGTACTACTATGACCTTCAAAATAGAGGTAGAGTCGGAAATTAAAAGTGGCGAAAGTATTACTATTTTTAATATAAATATATTAATTTTTTTCTTCAAATAACATAAGCATATCATGAATTTTTTTAATTTTTTTAATTTTTTTTTTGGTTTCCCACCTGATGTTCGGAGCCCACATTGGAGCTCCGACTAAATTCGAATCACGCACTGCAGGCCCCATTCGGGGGTGGCGCTCTCAACAGGATTTTCTCCATACCCAGGGCTCGAACCCAAGACCTCTGGTTGAGGGTGAAACACTCCCACCAGTGCACCACAATCTATGTTGGTATATCATGAATTATTTACTACATACAAACTACAAAGTTTGAAGTAAAACTCTCTAAAAATTTAAAAAGACAATAATCAACCAAAAAATAATAATTGAGTTGTAACTACTAAAATAAATTGTCAAAAAATTAGAATGGGGGAAAGTGAGAATCAAACTTAGATTAGCCCATTAAATATTTGTCATTGCACCCCAAATTAATTAGTGAAACCACTTATCTTTGTTATTAGAGATGTCAAAGACAAAAATATATATATATATTTCAAAAAAAAGATAAAAATGAATTGGTTATATTATCGATTGAAAAAAATTTATTATAAAAAAGTTATTAACAACTTTGTATTTTTAAAAAATACTAGAGGAATAACATTTTTATTTGATTTTGACTTTAGAGTTTAGACCACTAATATGTTTGAGTTGTCAAAGGCTAAGGTCCAAGGGGCTACCGCAGTAAGTAAGCGTGTTGTGGCATTTTAATATTATTATATCTTTTAATATTATTATACTTTGCAAATGCCATTTGTTTTCTGCCTAATAACACATTAGTTGCGTTACTACCGTTTGGCAGTTGATGACATTTGATGTCATCTTTATTATCATGTGTCAAACGTATAGTGAATGTGTAATGGTACTTATCCGTTGGGTTTCTTGACCACTACTCATTCTGCCAAGAAACCCAACGGACAAGTACCATTACACATTCACTATACGTTTGACACATGATAATAAAGATGACATCAAATGTCATCAACTGCCAAACGGTAGTAACGCAACTAATGTGTTATTAGGCAGAAAGCAAATGGCATTTGCAAAGTATAATAATATTAAAAGATATAATAATATTAAAATGCCACAACAATCCCCCACTCATTTTAATATTACAGAAGAGAGTCTATCAGCTGAAGGAAGACTACTATGCATAATGAAGGTATGCTCAGCATTGAACCTCCACTTAGTGAAACAGTAACTTTTACTCCAGTGTCGTAGTGGTCTCAGACTTGAACTATGATTGCTTAAGGGAAATAAAACATCACTGCTCACACATAATAATCATGGTGTTGACATGAGCTTTAAAGCCAGCATGTTATGGCCATGTGCTATCCCGGTTTCATGAGTGCTTTTGAGAATAAGCAAAACTCTCATAGGAAGCGACCTACTTCCACACATCACATAGGTGAAATCTGTCGAGAGTGCTCCTGTAAGCTTAACACTCCACCCATACGGGCTACAGATATTCATTAAGAGTTTTGTCAACTCAACCTTCACAAATCACTACAGGAAACAATGCACTCACATCATAGGGAGGGAATAAAAAGATAGTGCATTTTTCACAACAAGTCATCATATGATCAGTTTTTCCCTTTGAACCTGGTTATAGGATCTCTAGTCCCCAGGTTGGGTTTCCTCATATATGACTCAATGATTTATAGGATTCAATCCCATCCCCCTCGATGTGCTCCAGACCTTTTCTCTTGTTAAGGCCTTAGTAAGAGGATCTGCAAGATTATCACAAGATTTGACATAATCAACATTAATGGTACCATTTGTCAAATATGATCTTACATTACTGTGTTTCCTCCTTATAGGTCTGGATTTACCGTTGTAGTAACGGTTTTGAACTCTATCAATCGCAGCGGTGCTATCACAATGAATTAAAATAGGAGGAATTGGTTTTTTAAAATAAGATATTTGAAATAATAAATCTCTTAACCAATTCGCTTCCTCACTAGCTGAAGCTAAAGCAATTAGTTCAGTCTCTATGGTAGAGTTAGCAATTATAGTTTGCTTTCTTGATCTCCAACAAACAGCACCACCACCTAAAGTAAAGACATAACCAGTGGTAGAACATGAATCACCTGATAAAGTGTTCCAATCTGCATCACAAAAGCCTTCAAGTACAACATGATATTTTTTATAGAACAAACCACAATTTTTCGTTTCAATTAAATATCTCATAACTCTTGTTACAGCATGCCAATGTTCATTACCTAGCTTGCTTGTAAACCTGCAAAGTATTCCTACTGCATATGCAATATCAGGCCTAGTACAATCAGTCACATATCTCAAACTTCTGATTATGCTAGCATATTCCTTTTGATGTATTACATCATTTTCACTTTCAGCAGGAAATAAGTGAACACTTGAATCAAAAGGAGTAGCAACATGCTTGCAATCAAGAAAGTTATATTTTTTCAAAATTTTCTCAACATAATGTGACTGGTCAAGGAAAATTCCATCACATGTTCTTGTTATTTTTATTCCAAGAATAAAATTTGCCTCACCAAGATCTTTCATATCAAAATGGCTTCTAAGAATATCTTTAGCTTCATCAATAACATTCATGTTAGAGCCAAAAATCAATAAATCATCAACATATAGGCAAATAATCACATGTGAATTATTCCAAGACTTATGATATATACACTTATCACACTCATTTGTTTTAAAACCATTTTCAATCATGCAAGAATCAAACTTTTCATGCCATTGCTTAGGTGCATGTTTCAAGCC